CTATAACTATTTAGTATTTAATATTAAATTATTAAATAACCGTGGTTCATGGTTATCACGGTTGCAGCGCTATCGCTAAGCCGACTTCCGAGTAAGTTCCACCCATAGACATAATATATGTCTATGGTTCCGCCAGTTCCGGATCATAATATACAATGGGTGGAGCCATGCCCATATCGGCCGTGTAAACAATTTGAAGCACATAAGATATAACCATAGGACAGTGATGGTATGCGATCTAAGTCAGGTCGGAGCCATCGGAATGTTTTGGATCGCTTTCGTGTCGGCACTGTATCGCGTGGCACATAGCAAAAAGCAAAACAAATAACTCGGACACTCGGTCAATCAACGGGATTTTTAGTTTCCACAATTTTACGCGTCGCAGTGCCCTAGTCATCAGTCGGTCCACGGTGTCGACGACGGGCGTTTGTTATCGGATCGACGAGACAATAAGATATTAACTCGTCAAATATTGACATTTGGACATCATAAGATCTCGTATCTGGTCAACGACGAACTTGTCTTCCGCTCTCAGTTTCGTTGTCTCACTTTTCTCCATTTTCAATTTTTACCGCACACTTCAGACAACAGTCGACGGCTCGGGATACGACGCGTCAGCACTCAGCAGCAGCTGTACTGTATAATTAATACTTAACAGTTGTAGTCTACTGCCTAGTCCTTCGTTTGGTGGATGTGCTGGTCTTAGAAATATAACTGCGTAATGGCCGAGAAGAGAAAAGGCAAACGTCGACGGGATGAGGTGAGTTGCTGTCACGACACGATTTACACCAACTTTGTTATTACGACGACACTAATATTATAATAACATCGTCGTTGTGGTTGTGTGTTATTGTAATCGCGTAACCAGGACGTACAGGATCGTAACGTTGCGTCCAGACTATTAATAATGTGTGTCGTTGGTTTTTCAGGAGTATAGCTTGGACCCGGAGGCTGCAGCTGATAAACCCAGCAAAACCGAGTACTCCGTAGCTGCCTGGTTGCGCAAGCATGTTCCACACAAAAAGACAAAGTTTGCTGGACACAATGTTGAGTACTTTACAGGTCTGTACTGATGGCATGATTTGTACTGCATTAGTATGTCATATAACAAGTTGGTTGATTTCAATATTTATGCTTATAGGGAGCAAAGCTGTTGACAGCCTGTTGGAATCAAAATGGGCAACCAGCGAGAAGTTGTTCACCACCAGACAGGAGATTGAAACGTTCTTGGACTTGTACGATATTTGTTTATTTGTTCACATTACATTATAAATGTTATTTTATATTATACTTGATTACTTTTTATCCTTCCCAGAATGTTGAAGCATCAGTTTTATCACCGTGCTAAAAAAGTGCCGATATCTGATCAGGAACTAAAAGCTATAAAAAATAAAAAGTCCAAAAAATCTAATGATACTGATAAAGATGAGAAGAAGAAATCAGATAAAAAGAAAAAAGATAAGAAAGATGACGAAAGCGAAGAAACTAGCAAAGATGACAAAATTGATGATGATAAAATCAAATCCACCGAAGTAAGATTATGTTTTATCTATAGGTAGGCATTTATAATATATATATTTTTACTAAGTATATTATATTATATTTACCTTATTGTATTATATAGATGGTATCTTGTACATATTATTAAATGAGATTTGAAAGTGTTATATTTTACCTGGTTGTATAAACAATTAACTAGCAAATATTTGTAAACTAACTGGTTCCTTAATTATGATTTAGTGGTCCATGATTACCTAATTAAATAAGACACATTTTCATTTCAGTAGAATTAATGGTATAAGTGTCTGATATCTGAATTGATTTCATTCGTGATAATCAAATGTTCTTCAAACTACTCAACCTCTAATATATTAGTGGAATACAGTAATAAAAATTATTATTCAAACCAACTGTGCATATTATTTTTCAAAGGTAGTTTTGAATTGAAAGTAGTAGTTATCATGATGATTTTAGTATGGTAAATTTGCCCAGTACAGAAAATGGTATAGGTAGTTCTATAAATCTGTATCTATAAATATGATGAAATATATTTTATCACTGAATAGCTTAATAGTTTTATTTATGATTTTTTATAAAATAAAACTTAATTTAAATTTAATATTTTGCTTGTTTTGAGTTTACTTAGATAATTATTAAGATTTGTTAAATAATGCCATATATATATAATGCTTATTTGTTTAATATTTGGAGGCTGATTTAGAATAATAAATATTCAAAAATACATGTAATACAATTTAAACCTATAAATCTATTTTATAATAAGCAAATTGTAATGTCAAGCTTCATACCCTATTTACATCCTGAAATTTTAATATTTGTCTTTATTAACAGATTGAACGGAAAAAAAAAAGTCGTAAAATACGTTTGGAAATGCATATGGAACAATCATTTGTTGACAATTTAGATGCATATGTTTGGATTTATGATCCTATTCCATTTTATTATTGGGTTATAGGAACATTCATTGTATTTGGAGGAATTGGAATTTGCTTATTCCCATTATGGCCACCACAAGTGAGGTAAATTAATTGTTTGTATATATATCGTTTTTTTATGATGCAATAACCATTCATTATTTGTTATAATCTTTCTTGTTAAACTCATGTTTTTATTTTTATTAATTTTTTTCAGAATGGGTGTGCAGTACTTAAGTATAGCAGCTGCAGGATTTCTAATATTCATTATTGTTTTGGCCATTCTTAGATTAGTCTTATTTAGTTTGCTTTGGATATTGACAACTGGGAAATTACATTTTTGGCTATTTCCAAATTTGACAGAAGATGTTGGTTTCTTTGCTTCATTTTGGCCCATTTATACAGTATGTACTAACAACTAATTCTATGCTTTTGATACATGAAATTGTTTATGCAATATGTATTGTTTGTATTTTAGTATAGTGTATTCTATAAAAAAAGTGCTAAAAAGGGAAAGAAAAAAAAGGAAAAATTATCAGATGATGAGGATGAAGATGATAAAAAACTGGATGATTGTGATGAAGAAAAAAAATCTTCAGAATCTGAAATCGACGAAAAGGTTCCTGAAACTGAAACATTTGAACATGACAACACTTTATTAGATACAGAATCTGGGCAATTTGAAAATCCAAAGTAGAACATTTTATACATTAGTTTTACAACATGATAAATTATGATAGTTCATTGACAGAAAGTTAAATAATATTTAGGATTGCCCATAATATATTAAAAAAAGTTAATTTTAATGATCAACATTTTAATATTTTCGATGTGTATTCAAGTTTTACAATACTTCCTTACTTAGGCTAAATTGCTAAAGCAGTTACAATAAAATGAGGAAGCTAATGATTTTTCTAAAAACTGTTGTTTATGGGTTATTTAAATTTGTATTATTTTCTTTTGAAAATATCTGCTTGACAGTTCAATGTTTTTGTTAATTTTAATTAATAATAATTAGAGATCACACATTGTGTACATATATTTCCTATTCTATAAATACTAAATTATTTCAAATTGCAAATATATGTGAGATTATGGGTGATTGACATCGGCATAAAAAAAAAACAATATTGTTGAAGCATTAAAATAAATTTATATTTATACTAAATACATTTTAATTATGACATATTAAAGCATAGTTAAAAATTCAATACAATAACACCAATGACCGATGTTGCAAAACATTTTTTTTTTCTTTTTTTGATATATTCTCTAGCTCACTCATATTAGTGACATATAGCACAGCATATATATATATATATATATATATATATATATATATAATATATATATTTTTTTAATCAAAAAATTTGTCATACAATTTTATATTAGACCTTAGTGCAAATTTATTTGTTTTTTAATTGGTATTTTAGTTAACTAATTTTGAAGTTTTTAATTAATATTTCATACTATAAGAATGTTACTATTAATTTAATAAAGAATTTTATTACAAAATAATAATTTTCTGATTTTTGTTAATAGATGTTCTGAGGATTCTTCCTCAACTGATACAGAATCGAGTAGCCAGCAGTCTCACAGTGGTAATGATTTTGTCATGGTGGAAAAACATGATGCCCAAGATACATAATAATAAGTAATTAACTATAATGTATGTACTTCATGTTAACATTTTAAATTAATTATTTGTTGTTACGTTTTTTTTTTTTTTGTTTTTTTTTTTCCAGATAAAATTAACAAATCCCTTTATTTATGTTTTCCAATAGCTTTTGCTGTGGTTTGATTTAAAATTAATATAATAATTTATTATTGTTTTTACTGTTATCCTATTATAACTTATATTCAATAAATTGCATTATTATTATTTTTTATTTTGTGATTTTATGTTAAATATTAATAATTACTACAAACTTAAAAATGATTATTTTTATTTCCAAATGCAGTATTTTTACCCTATTAATTTTATCACATACAAACCGATTACGGTTTTATAAAATGTTTAGATGTGAATGTAACACATAAAATAAAATTTTACACATTCAAACGTAACTTTTAATAAAACTCTTGCTGTGTAGTTTTTATGTTGATTTATTTAGAATATATCATAAATATCACTAATTCTTACACACAACTTGCAATACATTTTGATTATATTTTAAATCAATTTTAGAAATATGAAATAAGTAGTAACTGGCCATCATAAGTTAATAGATATAAATATAAATGTCACTAAATATTTAAATATATCACTGGTAGCAAACTGGCATGCTTACACAGCCATACAGAGTAGGCCTTTGAGTAAGCAGTAAACTACTCTGTGTGTATAGTTAATATGTATAGGATTAATATTAGCTGTAAATATGTGATATAAAATGTATTTTGATATATATATACATATATACCAAATTGAAATAATTTTGTTTTTCATGTTAGAACCGACAACATCACAGTAATTGCTTTCGCATTCTTCGTGACAATGCCATAATTTGAAATAATGTACATGTATATCATGTGTGTCATACATCTACATAAATGTATATCTCCATTGAGCTAAGAAATTTCAGAAAAATTAAGATTTTATATTTGTTTTATTATAAATCCTTATTAAAATAAATTTGTAGAAAACTTACCATTTTATCAGGTTATGCATGATTGAATGAATAATATCACTAATAAAAATAATAAAAGATTTCTTACAAGTTCAGCCATTTCACAAGCAACAAACCAAACCTCATCAAAAACCTTTAAGGTGTTAACATCATAGGCGCCAAGTACATGGGTGCTCGAGCACCCATTGAAAATATTCATTGGGTGCGGAGCACCCAATATAATTAAAATAGGTAAACCGTTATCACCACGTTCATTGTATGATATCAGTGGCTACAAAGAAAAACCACAGGATAATATAAAAATCTATTTCATCTATAATTCTGTGGCAAAACCTCGGAAGTCAAAATTAGAAAAAAAAAATTGGGGGTGGGTACAACCCATTACTCCCTCCCGGCCAATGCTTGCGCCACTGTTGTTTTACATTGGTAAGAGCACCCAATAGCTTTTTGAAAACCTGGCGCCTATGGTTAACATATTTGGAATTATCATATTTAACATAAAATTAATTATACTTTGCTACATTTTTATTAAAATATCATCAAATTCAACACATGCAACAGTGTGGAATAATATTAAAAACATACAAGGTGTGTTCAGAAAATAATGGGAATTTTTAAAATTCACTGGTTTAGAATGATTGTCAAAATCTTGTGTTGGTTTATATGTTCCTGAAGTAAGATATATGCAGCTGTTTTCATTGCTTACTTTGTCTGTGGCATCGACATGTTAGACTTGTTTTTTTGATCTTGGCAGTATTGTTTGAAAATGTATCAATGAATTTGTAACAGATTTTGAATGAAAATGAAATCAAGTGTAGCAAGATGTGTGAAATGTTAACAAAAGCCTATGGTGAGTCTGATATGAGTAAAATAAGAGTATTAGAGTTAAAGAGTGTTTCCAAGATGGCCATGAAGATGTTGAAGATGATAAACGGCAAACGCTTCAGATACCCCAGTACACCAACAAGCGATGAAAACGTGAAAAAACTGAAGCAAATGTTAATGAACAGTTGACATACACAATCAGAGCAATTGATAATGATGTTGGCATAGCATTTGGCTCATTCATACAATGACATTTTTTGGATTTTAGGTATGACTTTTGCACCATAATAATGCACTTATTCACAATTTATTGATGGTGGGTGAATTGTTAGTAAAAACCAATACTGTAACGATGTCCCAGCCTCAATATTAGCTAGACATGGTCCCGTATGACTTTTTCTTATTTCTAAAAATTAAAAGAACCTTGAAGAGCCATCGTTTTAAAATCATGGATGACATTAAAAACACATAACTGAAAGAGTTAAGGCTATTCCAAAGATTGAGTTTAATAAGTGTTTCTATGATTGGAAGAAGCTATGACACAAGTGCATCATATCAAATGAAGACTATTTTGAAGGCAACAATATTAATGTAGATGAATAAATAAATTTAAACTAGGTAACGAATAACAATATCAGACTTACATAATGTGATTACTATAACTCAAACATATTGTGCTAACTTAATTGTATGATTATCACCATTTACCTCGAAGCTGGTAACATTGGTATATTGAATAAGTTTTTAATAAAATAGAAAAATGATATTTAAAGCACATTTTATATTTAAAATAATAAATTAGTTATGTTTCAAAAATAAGAATATTATTTTATATTTAACGTATCTCTTTTCTCAATTTGTCTCATTGCTTTTTTCCTCATCCTCTTGATTTTGGCAGGGTTCTTAATCTGAAAAAATTAAAAGATCTCGTATAATTTATGATTTAATGAAACAGAACTCATTCAGCTATTGTAATTAAATTATACATAAATAATTAACAGTAATTGTTGTTGATGCAAAAAAAAAAGTTTATTAAAGTTTATCATTTAATAAGGGATAATAAAGGAAGGAGTCGGCCAACTGAGTGTTAGGATTTCTAACTGATAATAGCTACAATTACTGTACTGTTTAATAATTCAATTTAACTTTTTATTCTACTTAATGTTTGCACTAATTTATCATCATCATAAAATATAAAATAAAGGCCAAACATTAATAACAGTTCCATATTTTAAGCAGACCTATTTAGAGCCTGATTCTATAAAGAAAATTTCAAAATGATTACAACTAACAGTTAATGATACAATTTGAAATAACCTAAAATGATGATTAATAACTCAAAACATTTTAATAATTATTGTTGAAATCAGCTAGATATTTATTCTATAGATTTATATTTGCTAGTAATAAAAAAATTTAGCTTACAGTAAAAGTAAAATGAATACTTAACATTACTTTACATATGAACATAGGTATCATAAAAAAAAACTAAATATTTTTAAATTAACCATTAAAAAATATATATATTACCACTTGAACAACTTCAGATTTTCTTTGATTTTCTGCCCGTCGTTTGATATTTTCGCGTCGTCGTTCTTTCCTAGCCTCGTTTTCTGCATTTCTTTCATTAATCAAGGCTCTAGACAGCTCTCTAGTTTTTTTGATGTCTTCCCTCAGTTTTTGTTTACGTTCAAAAGACAATTTTAAACCCTTCGTTTTATTGATTGACGAAAATCTTAAGCAATAAAAATATTTATGTATAGTGTGTACTAACCCAAATCATATTAGAATATTACTTGATTTATTCATGACTAAGAATAGTTATAGTTAGCAACCTACTTGGTTTTAGGTGTTTTCCAAAATCTTCCACACTTTGGCATACCACGTACTGATACTTCTTTTTCTGACATTATTAAAAGATTATAATATTACAGTATTGCGTTATAGATAAACTTATATGCAGAGGAAATAAATAATAATAATTAATAACAGTAAAACATGGTATACACTATACAGTAAATATTATTACATAGTAAGATATGCACTATAATTTATAAATATTAGTGTCTAGGTGATATTACTGATTATAGTGATTATACACMGAAAAGTCAAAAGACGATCAAACCATGTGCTATTTGTTATCACGGTGAGGTTTTCCAAAGACAATAAAGAAATGGAAGACGTCCACTGCTTATTGTCCAGTGTTACCAGGTTAAATTGTCATAAATTTCGATTTTATTTTTCTTAGAATTTTAAAATTATATTCAACTTACAACACTTCAACACTACCACAGTATAAAAAAATAATATATTTATACTGTGACACTACTATGAATGTATAGTGTATAATATTATGTATTATAATTTCAAAAAAAATACTCAAAAATTATTTTATTTTGATAAATATTTTTATTCGTATACCTTAGGGGTATGCCTACATAATCAAATTATTATTATTATTATTTTAACTTAATATCCATTAAATGAAGAACTAAAGAAGAAAGTAAGAACATTATACATGTACAATTATTTATGCATTCTTAATATTATTTGAATTAATTAAAAAAATATATTTGAATATCATAAATTTATGTATTTTATTTCAAATAATAGTTAGGTGTAGGTACCTAAGTTTATTAGTTAACTGTATCTAATGACTTATACCTAATCTAATCTATGAAAATAATTTAGTTTTGGAACCTATAAAATAAAAATTCAAAATATMAGAATCATATTCACCTATTTCTTTTTCATGCAATATTTACGAAATTACGAAAAATATTAGACTTGTAATACTTAACACGTTATTGTTGCGAATTCCTGCAGTCATTACTCATTTCTAAACATATTTTGTATTAGATTAGTTTTATTTCGGCCATTGTTGTTTACCCTATATATTACGGTATATAGTTAATAGGTATTATATGTGTCATGTGTGTGAAATTCGTAACTCAAATTCTCTATTTTTAGGACAACGATAACAAGTAAAATATTTCATTTTGGCCACATATACATAGGTTATAGGTACCTACATGAAGTGTTTAACTGTGTCTGCTTATGCACTATCATCGTATACCGAAATCGTTGACACATTTTGATGAAGAGAACATAACATAATAGCATGAAGGTTCGTCATAATTATTGGTGTATTATTAAATAAAGTTCTAGGGAAAAATATAATTTTAAAAGTAGATTATCATCACTCTGCTCTGTAGTTCTCATAGACCTTTAAGTTTAGCTTAAGTCAGGTAGTATGGTTTAAGAAATGTTATATTAAATTTATATTATCACTATAACATAGTAATTTTTTTTTAACTTTTGATTTTATTTTTGTAAAAAAAATTGGGATCAGGCACTTACAAAGGGGGGTATTTTGAGTATTCAAACACCCCCCCCCCCACGGAAATATTTAGTTTTTGTATGGTTATTTACTTATTCTATTTTAATGTTAATTGTTATATTATACAGGTATAACATTACATTGTTTTTATGAAAAACCGGCTTAAGAAAAATAAAAATGTTTTTCTTTTCAATAACTATTTTCAAAAACGCCTCCCCCCAAAAAAAAACTTTTTTTACGTACGTCAGTGATGTAATAAATTAATTTTTTTGTTCTTTAGAAGCTGTAGATTATGAAAAAAATTTTGTAATTTACTTTCGTTATTGCACAACTTTCACCTTAGTAATACCTTCGTCGAGTTGAATTAATTAATGATCAGAAAATAAAAATTGATATTTTATCGTCAGCGGTAACATTAGGTTTTAGGTATAACATTTAAACTAAAATATATATTATATATGTATAGGAAAAATGTTAAGCATTAATTAAACCTTGGTTTTATTACCAAATCAATCAACTCACACACAATTCGCATGATATTATAGAAAAACAAAAACAATAAATGTCATACAACATTAAAATAGACACACAAATGAAATAAAAAAAACAAATAAATTTTATATTTCACTGTATTATGATTTATAATGATTATTATAATTATACATATGTAGATAACAATAAAATAAGTTGATCATAATGCAATAATTATAAGAGTTTATATGCATTGTTTGAAGATTGAATAGTCTGTCAAACTCTATAGCAAAATGTAACAAAACATGAACATTTAATTTAAGACGGCGTTGTAGGTAGACAATTTAGGGGCATCAATGTGTAGAATGACAAAACCATGTATCGTAAACTTGGTGCTTATAATAAGAGGTCGAATGATCTATATTTAGAATGGATTTAAAAAAAAAAATAAATACAAATATTTTTTACTTCATAAAGGATGTAAAAAAGGTATACATACTTAAAAAGGTTTTCTCATTGGAGTCCATGCCTAACAAATATAATAGTGTACAATGTACATACTGACAAGGTGCGACGATATTCGACGGCACGTGGTCGCCGTGGATAAAAAAAAATTAAACAAAAAATACACCGAGAAGACTGCAGTTCGAAATTTAAAGATAAATTACTATGAAAAACTATTATAACTATATGAATACTAAAATTATGATGAATTGATTATTAAAAGGGCATGTTGTTAATTAAATTCAAAAATTGTATACCTAATAATCATCAAGAGTAAAATTATGAAAAAAAAATGGGAAGGGGGGATTGGTGCACACAGGCAAATGTATTTTGAAAAGCAAAAAAAAAAAAATTAAGATAAAATTTAAATATAAAAACACACTGAAGACTGCAGTTCGTAATCTAAAGATAAATTACTACGAAAAACTATTACATGAATAGGTACTAAAATTATAATGGATTGATTATTAAAAGGGCATGTTGTTAATAAAATTCAAAAATTGTGTAGGCTTATTTTTCTCATGGCTTTTTTTTCTGTGGATTATTTTTCCCGTGGCTTTTTTTCCCTGGATTTTTTTTCCTACATTCTGTTTGGGTGGTTCAAAATCCCCAAGTCGAATGATTTGCTATATACCTACCTGTTATGTTATCTATCCACAAAATATGTTTAAAAAAATCCAATGTTGTTCTGTGTTCACGAAAAAATATAATTGTATTAAAACTGACAAGTAGCGGTTTTTCTGCGGTTACGAGTGAAGTTGTTTTTACTAAAGATATCAACTCAAATAAATATAATGTAAAAAACATCATTTCATCTACAAATTATATAAACTATACTATTTATGTCTTAAAAATATTATAATATCAGGTAGGAATTTCCAAATTGAATCAGTTGGTAAAGAGCTTTTTTAACATTTTAACTACCTATTTCTGTCAATAGTCTAATTTTTTTTTGTTTTGTTAAAATAAATTACAATATTAAGGAAATATAACAGTGGGTACCTTCACAAGTAGATAATATCTTAGAGTGTACTTAAATGTTATTTTAAACAAACAAAAAAAAAATGATACAAACTTAAAGATGAGAAAAAATTAAAATTAATTAATGTAAGTTGTTCAGAGTACATTTTACATTAATATGAGTAACCCAATTATTTAAAAAAACAAAGTCTTATCTTAAACTCACATTTTAACTTGTGATAAATAGCTGATATCTAGTAGGTAGTAATAATATCAAAAAATAACACCAAGTACAACCTAATTTATAAATATTATAATTATTCATCTACTTGAAACAAACAATTACACTTATAACCCAAGAAAAATTGGTATTTAATTAATTTATATAAAATTATATACCACCAAATAATTCCTTTTCCGGGAAAACAAAACTATGGACAACATTTAATAAACTTGATAACTATTGCATTGGTAGGATACATACATTTAGTTTTAATGACAATAACAAAAATCAACATAAAAGAATAAAATATATAACCAGCTTAAAGGAAAATTTATAAGTATGTATCATACAGAAATCGTAATTTTAAAAGCTATCATAAAAGCTATTGAACCAAAATTTTCTGAATTAATATTAAATTAAAACAAAAATAATAAATGAAAAATGAAAACGATAACCGGCTACCGGTCTAAAAGTTATTGATCATTAAGATAGAAATCAGTAAAGTAATTAGAAGACAATTGGTCTAAAATATTAATAATAATAAAATAATATAAATATCGAAACGTTGATGTTTACAGTCTTCATATCAATACACACACAAACACAGTATCAACAGTTTTTCTGCTAACTATTATTGCCGTTTATGCCGGTCACATAAAAAAAACTTCAAAAGACAGAGTCAAAAGAATCAATTAGGGATATAGATAATTATAATTTGGATATTCTTAAAGCTAATGTTTTAGAAACTGGAATAGTTGAGAACTCTGTATATTTAATTCCATCACAAACTATCATGTAACAGTCAATAGCGAAAAATCATTGATCTATGTTGTGCTAGAGCCAGAGCTTAATCTAGAGTACTTAAGCCAGAATGTGCACATCTAATAGACGCTTTAGTTTCAGAACATAACAGATTAGATTTACATTTTTCTAACAGTACATTAAAACCAAAATTTCATATCCTTACACATTATGGTCGTCTCCTCCTTAAAAATGGCCAATTTCTTTAACATCTTCTTTAAGATTAGAATCAAAACATAAGGTTTTAAATGCAAATGCCATACCAAATCGTATAAATCATGATGGCCACACTTTATCACATAAACTTCAGTTACAAATGGTTCATCGATTTTTAACTAAAAAGGGATTAGAGCCAGACTTAAAACTTTTATCATATTTAAAAATTAGTAGTGTAGTAGAGTTAAATTTTATATTACCTTCAGATTTAAGTCAAAAGACTTTTTCAGCATCATGGATAAAATTTAAAAGTGTTACTTATAAACCGAGTAGGCTGGTCAATGATGATAGTAGAAATCAATTTAAATGGATGTATATTTGGTCAAATAATTAATATTTTTATTAATGGTTCTACTGTCCCATATTTAGTGTTTGCGATTTTTTTTACTATTGGATTTTTTTGATGATCATTGTCATGCTTATGAACTAAAAAAATATGATGATACTGAAACAAATCTTATTGGGTATTATATAAATGATTTGCCCGAATCGTCACCTACTGTTATTAGAGTTCTTGGTGATG